GTCCATTTATAGGGTATATGTAATTCCTGTAAGTTTTTAAGTAAGTTGCAACTTTGTAGCTATCGTCCACAAACTGCAAAGGATCCTTACCCCACTCACGGATGTCAGCTTTTGCGTGTGGACAATGCACACCGGTTAGATCCCACTTTAAACATGAGCATGTCCTCCTTTGTAAATCTACGACAAACTGACCATTAGAATATGGTCCAGAAACTTGAAATTGCATTTCCCATTAAATATTACTTTTCACGAAAAAGAATCACGTGTACTAATTTCGAGTTTCTTTAAAAACTTTGGACATATATCGCTAGAACTCCTTGCCATCAAATCACGACGTTTGTACATCTGTACCATCACCTTGTTTTGAATTGACTGAAGGAGAGTCAAAATATCCTTCCCCCTCGCTTCTTTTATGTAGTTGTTAAAGCATTCACAGAGATTGTTTAACAAAATGTCACATTTGGAAGCCTTCATGAAATGGGACTTCGACCATTACTCAACTGGTTTGGCACATAACCACTCCTAGGCAGGTTTCTCTTCATCCTTAATTTTTTCCATCCAATATGTAAACTCGACCAAATAAGCAGACTTAGTTGCTCACCTCATAGATGTCTTGCACGTGTTCGGCAAGCGAACGAGTCGGGTCACTCACAAAATTCTCGGAGGACTATATGATGAACATACGGTTCAACGCTACTCTACAAACTGTGGTCTTTCTAGTGGTCTGACAAGTTCGAACCATGTCTATCACATAAGTGTCCAATTATGTTTTTATCTTGGTTAGTGATATCGAATAATACATTATGCTCTTGTGGTTTTAATATAAAGGCTAATCATCATACCTTCATATAAATTTAAACAAAGTAATAACTTCATAACATATTTAATTCTAAATATCACGTAAGTATTTCATGAATTCAAGCTTAAATAATTCATATATCATGCTTGAAAAAATAAAATGAAACATAATATTTCATCCATACCTTGGGTTCATCGGACGGTAGTAGATTGACAAGCGCTAAATGTCATGGGTCTTATTTAAAAAAAATATATTATCACGTATAGAACCATTAATAAACATGTGGACACCCTTTTTGTTTACTCTTTATTTTATTGGAAAATTTCAAAAAAAATTTGGTCCAAAAGTACCTGCACAACTTCAGGAGTATTGGAAAAAAAATTGAGAAATTCAGGATGGAGTTTACATTCTATAATTACAACCACGGGCGGAACCAGCCTTTTAAACTAGGGGCGGGTCTCGAAGTTGAAGGGGCGAAGGTTCACGAGGTACTGCCCCCGAAATTTTTTTTTTAAACATTATCTATTAAAATGAGAAAAGTTGGTA